CAAAAAAAAAAAAAAAAAAAAAAAGGTTTTGTATTTTCAAAATTATTACAGTTTAGTCCCATGAATTTAAAAAAAATATCACTTTAATAGAAAGATAAATTGATTAGTGATCAACAGTGTAAAGACTAAATTATTATTACAATTTTTAAATTATGATCGTTACATATTAAAATAATGTCGGAAAACACATATCGAAACCTATATTTCACATATGTCTAACTTTTGTTTCAGCTCTAGCTTGACTCGAGACGAGACTATATCATCACTGAAGTTCAAGTCGAAGGACAAAAGTAGTGTTGAAATAGATTATATGAGTAAGATCAAATCAGGAACAAAAATGGTATGTAAGGATCAAAACTGTAATTATTTTTATATTTATTCCTTAAAAAAAGTTCGAATTTGGGGTTATATAATGAAATCATACATATATTAATATGAGAGTAACTGTATAATAATATGTAAAGACAATAAAATCTTACATGTGCCGTTCCAGTTTATGACTATGAATTGAACGTTCCTGCTGTTATATTTCAAACAACAATTTCCAGCACAAAGCTTAAGCCTATTTTTCTAGGACACAAATTTCCTATTAATTTCTTCAAATAAGAATACTACACTAGGATGATGATGAATAATAATTAAAATTATAGAGACATAAATTGAGGCTTGGATAACTTCTTATTAACCTGTAATGGAGTGAGTCACTGAGGCTTTGGTTTTACTCTGCCAACGCCATTCTTGGTGAGAAGGAATCGAGCACTCCGGACAAGTTCTTCCTTAACCATGAACAACACAGCAGCAGCCAGAACACTCTGCACGATCTTCGTGCCCATTCCTTTGTAAAACCCGTATACTCCTTCGTATCGGATCATTTTGATGATGGCATCAAATGTGCCTGGATCAAAAATGAATGAACATCGGTGACTTCAATAAATGGTAAGGAGAAATTGTAGAATTTAAGCTAATCTAAAGGTAAATCAACCAAACCTGTAAAAGAACAAGCTACTTTCTACCCTCCCACTACGTTTTAATGGTGGAATATACTATGATCATAAAAACTTGGATTTTTCCTAAGAATCCGAACCTTTATACTGATGTCTTTTGTCGCCAGCTACGACTTGCTTTGCTTGAAGCCTAGACTGCAAAGAAAATAACTTGGATGAGATAGTTTACACTAATGCATCCTAGAAAAATAAACAAGAGCTCAGAAACAACATTTGTCAGAAACAACATTTGTAAGAATGGAGCAAACGCATATAAACTTTTTTTTCGAGGAAAGTAAAGAAATCCCATTTTCTTCATAAAGCTTTTGTTTCTACGAGGTTATAAATTTTACCTTCACAACTAGAAGGGGATAGGTTACTACAGTAGCTCCAAGTTTTGCCAATGCACCAAGAAAAAATATCTGCACAAGTAGCCAAATGTGTTAGCTTGTCATGGAACGCTAAAAAAACAAATTATGAGTGGACAAATAAATCTGGACGTGGTCAAAATGTGGTCACTTTGAGAATTATAGCGGTCCGGATAAAGATTACCTCTAGTGCAGTAACTCCATTGCCATCTTTCCGTAAGCCACGTCGTTTCTTCAATTTGTTCAACATTGTTTCATACAGCATGTACTGTATAGAAGGGTTGCTAACCTGTGATAAGAAAGGAATATCTAGTAGTGTTTCCTCATGTATCAACTCGAAAGTTTCTTTCCCACACGTACCATGATCATCGTTGGGATTACCCCTTTCCAGAAACCCCTGATTCCAGCTTCCTCATAAAGTTCCTGAATCTGAAGATTGAACAACGTTTTCCAAATAAAAATCTCAGTCAAATATCCAGAGTGAGGTCTGTTAATCATGATGAAAGGAAAAGAGGGCTTCAATGGGAGAAAAAACATATGTTAACTAATAAGATAGAGCTGAAAGATATAAAAAGTAAAAAAATGGGATAACTGACTGACTAAATTTCTTAATATCCATACTTTTTTTTGCGACATTCTTTCCCAACTCAGACCAAACAAATATAAAACGAGTACTGCTTTAGGTTTGGGCTCTTATCTGTCAGTCCCTTCAATCTTGAGCAATCGGTTTACTTCATAAGGACAACTGCTATACGTTCTTATTTTTCAGCCATTCTGAGCGAACCATTAAGATGTCAGTAAAAAATTGTTCGCTAAATGTAGAAAGGAGAACTCAAATGAAATGTAAAATATAGATTTTATATAACTGCCCGGTACAGCAAGGAGGGGAGGGGGGTTGTATGTTCTTTTATTAACCAAGGTGGATAATAGAGACAGACTATGGATATCCAGATCCAAAACCAATTCTGGCAGACTGAACACGAGAAAAGATAATCTAATCACCAAGAAATCGTTGAAACTAAGAAATTGTGGCAGCAGTCCAGAAAAAACATGTCTGCCTTCATTCATGCAACAAAGAGTTCATAGCTACTACGGGAACTAGTACATGGGCGTTTGTTACTTACAGCATGAGTGGTTCTGTATGAAGGAGGACCGACTGCTGTGGGAATTGTTTCATCTAGTGGAGTCAATGGAGCTCCACCGGGAAGAGACGGCTTTGAGACTTTTCTATGTGTCTGAAAAATGATAACACAAATCTTGTCATTTAAAAATTTTCAAATTCCATGAAATCATTTACAACATGAAACTGCTTCCTACTGGAGTTTAGTTTACAATGCTCTTAAGGAAAGTCTACATCAATAAGTGTTAAATCAAGTAAATAGCTCCTGCATTCTGGATATACACAGATAAAAAGGAAAGGCTTTAAGATTGTTAGGAGAAAAAATGTTTAGACCCCCAAGAGAGAGAGAAAATTCTCTCTTCCATCTTTTTCTTTAAACCAGATTTCATTAAATAAATCATAGAACCTGAATGACTAAGACATCAAAAACGCGAACGCAAAAGCAGGGACTAAAAGAAGAAGAATAAAAACCAATTTTTGGAAATAAAAAGAAAATAAAGGCAAGGCTATCATCAAGTCGCTGAGTTGAATCCAAAAATGCTTTAGATAATATGCTCAACCCTTAAGGGTGACATCCTAAAATAATCTCCTTATACACTGGTTTAATTAAATTTAATTATTTTTTCATGAAGCAAAATAAAAAAATAAAAGTTCCGTGATATATTATTACCTGCATCCGAGTAACAACCACCCATATGGGATTTGTCAACAGTACATTGACACACCTAAAGAATGAAAATATTTTTTAGATAAATTAGAGGGGAAATAATAAAGAACTGAATAATGCAGATGGTTTGGCAGTAGCTCTGATAAGTGACCTATTTTAATTGCATATGAAAAAGATTAAACTGTCTGAAGTAGATATTTAAATAAAATGGAAATAATGCATTGGAAGCAAGACCTGCATGCATAGGATGCAACCCAAGATATCCATGTTTAATCTCAAGAAAAGAAAAGAAACGAAATGATGAGAACTCTTTCGTATTTTTGTTTGTATTTTTTAAAACTAAACGTGCACTCTATGCCAATCCTTTTGAAGAAAAAAGGATAGAATTAGCCTTTCCTCCACTTTCTTGTAACCCTTATCCCTTTTCATTTGTTTGAAATGAAGGAATTTCTTATGAAAATGCAATTAATAAGAAACTAAAAAAAAAAAAAAAAACAATCTATAAACAAACCCAGATATAGCAGCCACCAGAAGCGAGGAAAGCATCCCAACAGATCCATCTCCAATCCCTGCCTTCGTTTGTTCAAGAGAAGCAGCTTCAGCCTTGCTCCTGAATATTTGGTAGAAATAATAGTAAACACCCTGTACCAAGAACAAAATTTTGTTCAAATGTAAGATACCATGAATCTATATTTAAAAAGAAAAACATACAAACTTATGTAGAAGTTCAAATAAAAATCTTTTATTGGAGCCAAAAAGGTACATGTAACATTATAGCTCCAGAGGAAAACAGTTTCTTTTTATTTTTTTGAAAAGAATAAAGTGGAGACATCAGAAAAGCTTGACATATATCACTTTAGTCTTATCTTGCTAGAATTAGTAACAAGCCACAAAAGTTGACATTCAGCCATTTCTATGTAACTCATCACTAACAATGGACTATTGAGGATCCCATGAAGAGACCTCACAAACATTACAATATACATGGATACTCCTCTCAGTCGCTAATTGGTTTTAAAATGGAACCTCATGTTTCTCTAATATAGATCAAAACCCACAAAGCCGAAACAAGTATTCAGTCCGAGAAATTGGGATCTGACCTAAGAATGGTGGAGCCAAAGAGGCACCATTTTGAGGGGACATGTTGAGGATCCCAGGTCAGAAAGATGAAGAGATTTCATAATCTTTATAAGATCATGGGTTACTCCTCTCATTGTCAATTGGATGTGTAAAAACTTCCGTTATTACCTTCTATACATATACAAACCAGATTGTAAGTTCTCTTCCTCTAATTCTTTATCCTTGAGCTCAGATACTTTCTATATACATATCTAGTGAAAGGAAGAAAGCGAATTGCATTTTCTAATTTTAACAAAGATCAGATATTAATAAACGAGCCTCACTCTCGCAGTAACACCGTAGCTAAGACAAATTTGACGTTGAAATTTGAAAGCGTGATAAAATAATATGAACTAGACCGAGTTCAAATGGGGGTCTCACCTGAGATGCAGCCGTACCAACCAGAGACGGCCCCAAGCCACCGTAGAGCCGGTCCCATCCTTCATGTTTTACAACCTATTCACGAATCAACCAAAGAGGTCATTTCCCTATCCATCAGGCAAACATTTATACTGAAAGTGGTCAACTGAATTTCGGAAATAAGCCGCGCAAAGTTTTCCAACAAGAACAGAATCCCAAAAATTGTAGGAAATTAGGTTTTGAAGAACAAAATTGAGAGCACCTGACACATCTGTTGAAACGTTCCAGGTTTCCTCTTTTCCTTCTTCACGCCGCGCTCTGTTTGCTGACGAGTATTCACCTGCAGAACAAACCAAACACCTGTCGAATCAGCGAATTTAAGCACAATAAACCCGGAAATATAGTCGAAGAATTTACAGTCTGAAGAGGGTATGTGATGAGCTGAGCAATGATTCCTCCTCCAGCTCCGGCCAATCCATTGATCAACGCGTCCGACATACTTTCCCACTAAAACCCAAAAAGAGAAACTGAAGTTAGAAATTGAAGCAAAAGCCCTGTTAGTTTGCCGGGAAACTGCACCGGAGCATTCATCCCAAAAGATACATTTCGATGACGTTCGCTATCTGGAAAACCCTGACGACTTGAAGAGTGGGAAAGTACGCAACATTTTCGATGAAATTTTTTTACCAATATTTTTACTGAATTTTTTTTTTTAATCTCATTAATAAATCAATTCAACCTATTGAAACACTATATTGTGAGTCTCATTTGCACGTGTTGAGTTCAAAGATAAAAAGATAAATTCATTTTATTGTTAATTTGTTATTGTAAATGTAATTTAGATATTAAAATAGTATTTAGAAAATGGGGAGTTTACACGAAGACATGAGGGTATATAAGTAAATAACAAATTAACAATTTGTTAATTTCTTTTTATATGTTCAATACAAAGTCAACGTCGTTGGTCCAACTTCTTACTACGTTGAAAGTAGAAGTTTAAAAAACAAAATTAAATAATCATTTGTAAATATTTACAAACTAGCTACTTATCCACTAAATACCATATCAACTATAAACATATTATTTGCCTGTATTTTGACTACCACGATAATAAATGTACTTTGTAATTATAGTTAAGTTACACATTTATTACATAATCTTTAACGGAGTAGCCAAAAAATAAAACATCGTTGTTTAAGTCTCAAAGCCAAACAAAAGGAGAAATATAATATTTTAAAGTTTGGTTTTGGTCATAAATAAAATACGAGATAAAATGAATTAAATTTGTAACCGAAGATAAAAGATTAAAACAAAATTGAAAAGAAAATATAAGTTCAAATATACAAAACACAAAGAATGGGCCAGCCTCCTGGACCTAAGACAGCCCATCCCAGCGTCGGGCCTTGAATCATTGGCCCATGTGGTCCATAATTTTCTATAATAATAAATTAACATGTTTTGTGATTGCAATTATAAAAAAAAAAAAAGAAGAAGGATAAATTATCCATTCTCATTTTTCCATTTTTTTTTATTTTAAAATTAATCACAATATTGCACCCCAATATCCTCTTTGCCACCGCTCGAGCGATAGAGATGGAAGGAAGTGGGGTTGACAACAAAGGCTCTAGAGTTGTCTTTTCACATAATGAATATTCATCATTTTTGGTATGATTTATTTGTTGGTTAAATAAGGAGATATTTTATTTATATTCCAAGCTCAATCCAATACCATTAAAATCTTACCTTAAAATTATCTAATTAAATCAATATTCTTATTGTTGATATTTAACACCCAATTATTTTGTGATTTAAAACACAAGTTCCAATTCTATGTTTGTAACATAATTAGGTCGGGAAGTTAATACTCATTTCAAGCATTAGATGGAGAAATTAGAATTTGGTAAGTATAATTTTTTTCTACTCCTTAAAATTTTAATAGGTTAAAAAACATTATTGCTTCCCAAAATTTATTAAAGTTACAATTATAATTTAGTTTATATCTTTTAAATATATAACAATTTAATATCGACTATCCTTATTTTATATTTAAATAAAAATTTAGATGTTAAAGTTGAAGGATTAAATGGTAATATTAATTTGTTTTCTTTTTTTTTTTAAGCATTTGGTTTATCCGTGAAAAAATATTTGGATAAAGGAACGCAACTGGAAGATTCTACATATTAAAGCGACAGAATAAGATTTCAAAATACAAAATTCGAAAATTACAATACAAAAGCCAAAAGGGCAAACAGCCAAATATATAAAGATGCGAATTTTTTTTCGGGCATCGGACGGCTGTGATTGATTTATCATGATTTGATGAGATTTCACTTGGACTTGAATGGGATGGCTCTGATCACAACTTGGTGGTACAGGGCGGCTAGAGCAGCGCCGATGAATGGTCCCACCCAGAAAATCCACTGCAATTAACCAAATAATGAGGTTAAGGATCAAGATTAAGACTAAGATTATGAAATTAAGATTATCAAACTCACGTGGTCATCCCAGGCTTTCTCGTTGTTGTAGATGATGGCGGCTCCCAAACTCCGGGCAGGGTTAATGCCGGTGCCGGTGATCGGGATGGTGGCCAAGTGGACTAGGAACACTGCGAACCCAATTGGTAGCGGCGCCAAAATCTGTTCATAAACATTTTGGTTTAGTTCTTATAAATGGTTAAGTACAGAGTGTTTTAATTTTGTTCACTTACTGGAACATGAGAGTCTCTGGCGCTACGTTTGGCGTCAGTGGCGGAGAAGACGGTGTAAACAAGGATAAATGTGCCCACAATCTCAGCGCCAAGGCCGTCCCCTTTGGTGTACCCCTTGCTCACCATGTTAGCTCCACCGCCGAGCCTGTTGTAGGGATTGGGTTGGAATCCCTTCACCACACCGGCCCCGCAGATGGCTCCTAGGCACTGCATTACCATGTAGAAAATTGCTCTTGTCAACGACAGCTTCCTCGCCAGAAACAGCCCGAAAGTCACCGCCGGGTTAATGTGCCCACCGGAGATTCCAGCGGTACAGTAAACCAGAGCAAAAATCATACCGCCAAAAGCCCAAGCGATCCCCTGGATCCCGACGGTCTTACAAGTGTTGCCGTTGGCTTCATTGGATCGAACGACACCCATGACGGTCAAAACAGTGATGTAGAGGAAGAGGAAAGTGGCGAAAAACTCGGCGATTCCGGCTCTGTAAAAGGACCATGAAGTGAGCTCGTCCGGCTCGAAAAGCGGCGCCGGCGGTGGCTCCTGGTAGTCCTTGGCGTCGTCTTGACTCTGTGCCGCGGTTCCGATCGGCTGTCTCTCGTTGAACTTGTTGGCTCCAAGTCTTACATCTTCTTCCTTCCCTTCCATTTCAGTAAACTCCTCTGTTTCTCACGGCGGAGGACAGTGGCTCTTTTTAAGTTAATGATAGTAGACATAAATGAGGAGGTAGTTTATATAGCAACGAAAGTGAATTTAGTGAGAAATTAATGGGACCCACCCAGTTTTTTAAAAGAAAGAAAAGTTTTTATTTATTTATTATTATTAAAAATGAAATAGAATTGTTATTTTCACAACCGACCATTTTCTGTAAAATAGGTGGAAAATGATAGAAGGAGTTGTTGGTCGGTTTGGCAGATAAGGATTGGTCCACGTGGCAAAAGATGAGCCACAAGGAGCAGTAGAGTGGAGAATGGGGCATAAGGCGGCCACATGTGATGCAATGATATAATAAGGTCATGATTGTAATTTGGCATGGTTGATGGGGACAATTGTGGAAATTGTGGGGCTGGAGACCCACGTGGAGGTTACGTGATAGGTTTGGGTGAAGCTGTTTGTGGACAAAATAATGTCGAGCCCGTGGTTGGAAATTAAAGGAATTTTGATGCATTACAGTGTTTACTTTTAGGGCTACGAAAATTGGAAAGCAAGATGATTCTAGAGAAACATCCGTAGTTTCATTATTTAATTTCATGTCAGTTTGACTTTATTCTCCAAACAATCGCCCCAAGCTCATCACATAAATGTGACCTACACCTTGAATTTATCTCTATATCTTCTTGAATTTTCCATATAATTTTTTATGACGTTGATTAATATGTATTGGTTGTTCGAACTTTTTTTGAAATTATGGTGTGTTCTTGCTTTGCATACCTTGTTTTTAGGATATTTAATGTAAGCCCACTAAAATGTGAAGAATTAAATGCATATTTTAATCCACTACACTAATAGATAATTTTAACTAATATTTTGAGTTTATTTAAAAACAAAAAAAGAACTTCGCACAAACCTATAACTCTAAGCCATGGATTTACAATCGAATTCTTTTAACCTTCTATACAAAAAAGAGTTTTAACCCAATTCCTCATTTAAAAAATTCAGTGATTTTAACTATTTTTAAATGATATCCTTTGTATGGACATCATAATCACCCGAGGTATTTCAATTTCTTGTGCCGCCCAAGTCCCCACCATGAACGGTCGGTCACCGGAAGCCGCATTATTGTCTATAGACTACGCACGTGCAGAAAGAGACCCCAGTCTTGTTGTATAAAATTAACGTCATTAAAAATATTTTGCCACGTGGAACAATCCTATTTCCCCGTCCAAACCGACCTGGACCCATTATTTTAACCTCCACGTTTTATAAAATCCCCAAAACATTTAGTCGGCGACAAATTATAAAACAAAATAGTAAATAATTAAACCCCTTGGCTATATAACTTCGCGCTCGCTTCTCTGTAATTACCATCTTCGGTTTTCAATTGCATTAGAAACAGAGAGTTTAAAGAAGTGATCTCAATAATAATGGAGGGAAAGGAGGAAGATGTCCGATTGGGAGCCAACAGATTCACTGAGAGGCAGCCGATTGGGACAGCAGCACAGAGCCAAGACGACGGCAAGGACTACCAAGAGCCTCCGCCGGCGCCTCTGTTCGAGCCGGACGAGCTCACTTCATGGTCCTTCTACAGAGCCGGAATTGCCGAGTTTTTCGCCACTTTCCTCTTCCTCTACATCACTGTTTTGACTGTCATGGGCGTCGTCCGGTCCAACGAAATCAACGGCAATACCTGTAAGACTGTCGGGATTCAGGGGATTGCTTGGGCTTTTGGTGGTATGATTTTTGCTCTGGTTTACTGTACTGCTGGAATCTCCGGTGGCCACATTAACCCGGCGGTGACTTTCGGGCTATTTCTGGCGAGGAAGCTGTCGTTGACAAGAGCGATTTTCTACATGGTGATGCAGTGCCTAGGAGCCATCTGCGGGGCCGGTGTGGTGAAGGGATTCCAACCCAATCCCTACAACAGGCTCGGCGGTGGAGCTAACATGGTGAGCAAGGGGTACACCAAAGGGGACGGCCTTGGCGCTGAGATTGTGGGCACATTTATCCTTGTTTACACCGTCTTCTCCGCCACTGACGCCAAACGTAGCGCCAGAGACTCTCATGTTCCAGTAAGTGAACAAAATTAAAACACTCTGTACTTAACCATTTATAAGAACTAAACCGAAATGTTTATGAACAGATTTTGGCGCCGCTACCAATTGGGTTCGCAGTGTTCCTAGTCCACTTGGCCACCATCCCGATCACCGGCACCGGCATTAACCCTGCCCGGAGTTTGGGAGCCGCCATCATCTACAACAACGAGAAAGCCTGGGATGACCACGTGAGTTTGATAATCTTAATTTCATAATCTTAGTCTTAATCTTGATCCTTAACCTCATTATTTGGTTAATTGCAGTGGATTTTCTGGGTGGGACCATTCATCGGCGCAGCATTGGCAGCTTTATACCATCAAGTGGTGATCAGAGCCATTCCCTTTAAATCCAAGTGAATATCTTCACACTATAATTAATGCTCGTGTTCTATTCAGTATTCATCGTGAGAAAAAACAAAATCCAAATCCCTATTATCCAATTTCATATCCGACTAACAGTTCCAATCTTAAATATGCCTACCTCTCTACGCTCTTATTATATTGTTGCCTCTTTTGTATCAAATTAAGTGTTAATGTAATGAATTAAATGTCCATACATTTATTTGTGATGGGCGATGTAAAAATTTTCGTCCAAAAAAAGGGGTTTTTTTTTCCCTCTCTTTTGTAACAATAGATTATAAACATGATAAACACAAGTATAAAAGGAAAAAAGTTATGGAGATAACCAATTAAGGATTGAATTCTTACTAACGTGACCGTAACCAATTAAGGATTGAATTCTTACTAACGTGACCGTTTATGCTACGATAATTATACAATTTTAAAAAAGAAAATTTCAATATCACAGTATAGGCTTTCAACAACCTTCTTAAAATTTACAAAACAAAATTTAAAATTTTGATTTATATTAATTTAAAATAAATAAATATTTATTTATTATTATATGAAAATAAGTGGGGATGGGGTGGAAAATTGGCGGGGATAGGGATGGGGACGAGAATAGAGAGGTAGGCATTAAATATATTATTTTTAATATTGATAGCTCACAACCTACTTCAAAATAATAATAATAATAAAATATTGCATGTAATTAATTAATTAATTAACTATCAATATTAAAAATAAAGACGCCACTACCTCATCACCTTGATTATTATACTAAATGCGTTGCTTGTGGTGGATAACATAAGTTATCATCGGCCGACCATCCTGTTTTTTAATCAAACACAATTCAAGTAATTCTATTTCAACAAATAAAAGAAATAAAAACCGATTTATGTTGAACTACCCATTTTCTTTATAATTTTAAAGCAAATATTTAATTTATTTTATTCTCCAATATTTAAAGGATCATAAATCTTGTTGTCCATCTCTCAATGGCTTCACAAATAACCCAAAAGAAATTTATTATATTAAAAACAAATTACAGCCGGTGTAGGAAATAATAATATTTTTGCCGTATTTATTACGAAAAAAAGAAAAGGAAAAAGAAAAAAAAGTCACAACTTGGCCCTTTTTTTCCCTTTCCTCAAATAATGCAAGTACTATTAAAAGTTGATTTTAAACTAGATTTTTGGTGCCTTCTTATTGTTGTTTTATATTTCTGTTCATCATCATAAAACAGAAATAAAAAGGAAAAAACAACCCATTTATTAAAGATCGAACAAATTTATACATCACCCATCTAAAAAACAAATTACGAACACTCACTCCGTTGAATTAACACTTGATTTCATACAAATGATGCAGACAGATTCATCAAATTCAAACATTGGATTCCAAATTATTGGATGTTCACTTGGACTTGAAGGGAATGGCCCTGATCACCACTTGATGGTATAAAGCTGCCAATGCTGCTCCGATGAAGGGTCCCACCCAGAAAATCCACTGCAATTAACCAAATAATGAGGTTAAGGATCAAGATTAAGACTAAGGTTATGAAATTAAGATTAACAAACTCACGTGGTCATCCCAGGCTTTCTCGTTGTTGTAGATGATGGCGGCTCCCAAACTCCGAGCTGGGTTGATGCCGGTGCCGGTGATCGGGATGGTGGCCAAGTGGACTAGGAACACTGCGAACCCAATTGGTAGCGGTGCCAAAATCTGTTCATAAACATTTCGGTTTAGTTCTTATAAATAATTAAGTACAGAGTGTTTTAATTTTGTCTACTTACTGGAACATGCGAGTCTCTGGCGCTACGTTTGGCGTCAGTGGCGGAGAAGACGGTGTAAACAAGGATAAATGTGCCCACAATCTCAGCGCCAAGGCCGTCCCCTTTGGTGTACCCCTTGCTCACCATGTTAGCTCCACCGCCGAGCCTGTCGTAGGGCTTGGGTTGGAACCCCTTTACCACGCCGGCACCGCAGATGGCACCAAGACACTGCATCACCATGTAGAAAATCGCCCTGGTCAAGGATAGCTTCCTCGCCAGAAACAGCCCGAAAGTCACCGCCGGGTTAATGTGGCCACCGGAGATTCCAGCAGTACAGTAAACCAGAGCAAAAATCATACCGCCGAAAGCCCAAGCGATCCCCTGGATCCCTACGGTCTTACAAGTGTTGCCGTTGGCTTCATTGGAGCGAACGACGCCCATGACGGTCAAAACGGTGATGTAGAGGAAGAGGAAAGTGGCGAAAAACTCGGCTATTCCGGCTCTGTAGAAGGACCATGAAGTGAGCTCCCCCGGCTCAAACAGAGGTGCCGGCGGAGGCTCCTTATAGTCCTTGCCGTCGTCTTGGCTCTGCGCCGCAGTCCCAATCGGCTGCCTCTCAGTGAACTTGTTGGCTCCCAATCGGACATCCTCCTCCTTTCCCTCCATTTCTACTTCTTCTCTCCTCTGCGTTTGAAGACGATAATACAGATCGGGGAGTGGTGGGTTATATATATAGAGTGCAATGTAAATTATTTGGTTTCTGAAAACGGTAGCTGGAAATGGGAAGAATATGGTGGGGCCGAGGAGGGGTTTTTTAGTAATCTCGATTATATTTAGTCATTTATAAAATGTGGAAGGTTAAATAAAAAAAAAAAAAAAAAAAAAAAAAAAAAAAAAAAAAAAAAATGATGGGCGGTTTGGGCGGGAAGAAGGATTGGGACACGTGGCAGAATGATATAAGACAGTAGTACTGGGGACTGTAAAGTCTATAACGCCGCTTCCGGTGACCGACCGTTTTTGGTGGGGAGGCGGATGAAATCCCTCCTTTGATTTTCATGTCTGTTGACAACGACTAAGAAGCTTGGAGAAACACAAACTTCGTCTAACTCATAATTATCTCTTAAATACATATTTACTTTCAATTACAAATTTAATTCCTCGTGAATACAAATAACACGTGTCACTCTAATAAATTTCAACTAAAATAAAAATCAATCTCATAATACGAGCTTCCTGACATTTCCAATTTAACACGTTTACTATTGACTATTGTAACTAAAATCCACCACAGAAATAAATTTTATATTTAAATAAACAATAAAATATAACGTCACCTATATTTATTTTCAAAAGAAATACAGTATTTTGAGGGCATTGCATGATTGCAATCTACTTCGGGAAAAAAAAACAGCCCGTAATTTTGGTGTGATGAGCTGGCCGTGGTATTGCCACCTGTCGGAATATACGCATGTCTACGCACCATTCGAACCCTTCTTTAAATTATTATTGACAACTGTGCCCTTTCCCTACTCTTCTCAAAATTCAATAATGGATGGAGTCCAAATTAAAAATTTTCAGATTGTGGGCTAAAGGTTTAATTTGCTGTTAATTCAATTTTAAATTTTAGAAACTGAACCTGTATTTTATAGTATTAAATTCCCTGTAAGCAACAATTTTTTCCGAGTTTTTTAAAAAAGGGAATTTTTAATTCTCTAATAATGCATTAAAAAAAATAAAGAAAAAGAACAATTGTTTATAGATTAGTGAATGATTGGATAAGTTAGATTAATTAATATATATTAAACAAATTGTGAATTCGTTACAAAATCATTATCAAGTGATTAAAATTAAAACATTAATTTAAAGATAAAGATTCGAAATTCAGTATGCGACAACCTTACTTTTTTACGTTCCAACCGCCTCTCTTCTTTCAGCCATGTATTTGATTAAAAGATTACCTGGCATTCACATGATGGTGTGGGTCCCATCCAAGGTCCCACCATCCTTTCTTAAATCACATTATCATTCACCACACAGGGAGTCTATTTGAATATTTTCTTTTCGGTATTTGGATAAATTGGTGAGCTTATTAGAAGAATATTACATTTTAATATTCAGTCGTGTCTTTTAATTATCATAATTTTTAAAAATTAAATATTTTACTAGCGTGCCCCTCGTGTATTAACTAGCATCATGTAGAAAGCAGAGTACGCATGAGATTACCCGCCTAGAAAAAGTGATACGTACTAATTTTAAATGTAGAGAATTCTCAATTCCAGTCTTCTATTTTTTGGTTGGGTTCGGATGGGTCAAAAAAATATTTTATTTTCACCTTTGTTACGATAACTAAAGTCTAATATTAAATTACATTTTATGAGTGGGTTTTTTTTTTTTAATAATTTATTAATTATATTTTAATATTAAAAATTACTTTTTGCTATTTTCAAAATGCAACATTAAATTTTCGGTTTGTTTGTAGGAAGATTTGCATCTGATTTGGAGGCCCAAATTAAAGCCCAATCAAACTGCACGGTGTTAGAATTTGGGCCGACATTCCAGTTCTAAATCTTTTTTTTTTCTTTTAATTTTATATTTGCTTACCAATTACTCTCCAGAAAAATAAATAGTTGGCAAGCCAGTCATAAGGGTTTTAGAAAGTCTCAACAAATATAATGGTAATGGAATATAGATTAAATTACATAATTTTTTATACAAATGCAATGATTAATAAACTAGTAATAATAATATCAATCGGAAAAGAAAAGAAAAGGTTTGATAAAAAGTTGACAGACCCTTTTAGTTAAACTAAATAAGTAATAATTAATTGCTACACATGTTTATTTTTATCCTACATTAATAAGCATTTAAATATAGTAATCTCAAGTTTATCCACCCTAATTAACATATTTTGAAATCTAGAGTATAATAAATAATTTGTCATCTCAAAAAGAGAATAAAAAAAATAAAATGAAAATATTAATATTACAATATTTGTACTAATATTAAAAAGGGATCGAACATTTGTATTATATATTCCACCATTATACCGTAGCAATTACAATTACGTCCACTTTTTACCTTTCGCAATACATTTCCACACCCGTCATCGATAACAATCGCTCTTCATTCAGTTTCGCCTCATCGGATTTTCGAACGAAATCGGCGAACGGCGGCCGGAACGCCGGAAGTATCGGAGTTGAGTTTCGCCGGAATGAGAGGGAGCTCTTTACGACGTCCGATTATGATCCAGCGGCTCCGGCAAATCGCCGTCACGATCAAGATCAAGCATCTTCTGTGTTGTTGCATTGTACTCGCTTTTGTCCTCTTCGCCACCCGCGCCTCCAATCTCATGGGATGGACCTCCGACGACGGCGCTACGGCGCTCCGTTACTCTACGCCGCGGTTTGAATTTTCTTATTTTTGTTTTTTCTTTCTCCCGCCATTTTAATTATGTTCATTTTTCGGTCACGAATTTTTTGCCTCTTTGTTATGTCGTTACGTGAGGTAGTTAGGATTTCTTGATCTTGGTGCGTTTGTGTATGTTTGGATGAAAATCAAGATTCTCAAAATCAAATTAGTTGTCGGTTACGGTAATCCGATTTTTAAAATTGTTCTTGTTTTCAGTCAACTTTTTTCAAAGATTTTTGTTCCTTTTAGTGTTATTTATGGAGCATACTTAAGACTTATTATTAAAATGATTAAATCATTCCAAGATCTTTTTAATTTTCAAAGTCATTTGAAAAGATTTAAAATAAATCTAATGTTTCATTTCATACTAGTCGCTATTTTTGAATCAATGAAAATAATTTACTAACGATTGAAGGCATATTGAATCCAACAAAAATGAAATTTACTGTCTAAACAAACCTTAAATTGGAACTATGGTTCTCCATACAGATTTAATGTTTGATCGTGTAGTATTGAACAATTTGTAGACATGGATTAGCAATGAGTTATTGTGTGAACATGGAATTGTAGGAAACGTTATGCGATTCTAATGAACACATGGAAGCGGCATGATCTTCTGAAGCAGTCCGTATCTCACTACACGACTTGTATGGGAGTTGAGTCGATTCATATTGTATGGAGTGAACCCGATCCTCCTCCTGATTCCTTAGTAGCGTTTCTACAGAGGACGGTGAAGGAGAATTCCCGAAACGATCGAGAGATCAAGTTGAGATTTGAAATGAATGAAGAGGACAGCCTGAACAATAGGTTTAAGGAAATAAAGGATTTAAACACAGACGCCATTTTTTCTGTGGATGATGATGTTATATTTGCTTGTTCTACGCTGGAGTTTGCCTTTACTGTTTGGCAAAGCGCGTCTGAGACTATGGTTGGCTTTGTGCCCCGCATGCATTGGATTGATCAGGCGGTATGTTAATTCCATCTTGCTGCATCATGTTCTCGATGTTTTTAGGTGCAAGTGTTGGTGGGTAAAGCGGATGAAGTATGCAGAAATAATTAAGAAGTATGAAAATAGGATTAAAAAGTTGAAATGCTTTGGTTAATGTTGTTGATTGGTAATGCAGAAGGAAGAAATGGGGAGATACATATATGGAGGATGGTGGTCAGTATGGTGGACTGGTACCTACAGTATGGTGCTTTCAAAAGCTGCTTTTTTCCACTCGAAGTATTTGGGTATTTACACTCACCACATGCCTGCTTCAATCAGAAATTATGTTACCAAAAACAGGTTCCTTTTCCCCTATTCCTTTAAATGCATTTTCCACTTTCTTTTGCCAAAGTTGTCATTCACAGGCTTGAATTTGTATGTTGCAGGAACTGTGAAGACATTGCAATGTCTTTTGTTGTTGCTAATGTGAGTGGTGCACCTCCTGTATGGGTCAAAGGTATGAAGGAAATCATCACATTTGAATTAATATATACGCAGGTTTTGTTGGTGATTTTTATTGGGTGGATCTGGCTGCAGGCAGGATTTATGAAATAGGTTCGGGTGGAATTAGTAGCTTAGGAGGTCATAGCGAAAGAAGAGGCAAATGCGTGAACACGTTTGTTGAAGAATATGGAGGAATGATGCCTTTGGTACCTTCAACTGTCAAGGCTGTTGATGGCCGTCACCTTTGGTTTTGGTAAAATCATCCATCCGTTCCAATATGCCATTCATAATATACGTCTACTTTGTAATTCGATTCTAGCAGTTTTAATCCATCTCATTTTTTGGCAATAATACAGCACCTCTGATACCCAAAGACAGTAACAAAAAATATAGCACCTCTTATCTTCAACGGATAATTTAATCATATTGTGTCATTTAACTCAAACGCCATATTGCATTAAATTTAGGTTTTGACATCGTTTTTAGTTCAATTAAAAAAATATAAATAATCGACAAATTGAAACGTGGAATACCAACATGAATTTCATACGCATTTAAAAAATGAGTACGAAAACTAATAGGTACGTTAGCACTTAAGAAGCGGATTAAAAAAATAATAAAAAATAAAGAACGAAAACCATAAAAAATCTCAAAATTTAAACAAATCCATTGACGATAACCTAAAATAATTCAGCAGAAAAATACAACTCCGAAAGACATAATGGAAACTCCAATTTGTGATTCTAAAAGACGCAAAACACAAAAGCTACTATATCTCTAACGTACGGATTAATCAAACAAGCTGAAACCCATGTCATCGTCAGACTCTTCTGCTGGCTCTTCCTTCTTCTCCTCCACAGCTGCGGCAGC